TGTGATTAGTGCAGCGGTTAAAACATTGCTCGTTTTAACCGGGCCATCCATGGCCTCTCTGTGTCTTTAAAGAGATCTGTAATATCTGCACTGGCGTGTTAAGATAACATAAGAATGTGGAATGACCGCAGACAATGTTTTATGTCTGTTGATAAGGGTAGACACTTCCATTTGATCTTTCTTGAGGAATAAGCCATCTGGCTATTTCAGATTTTTTTTTTTTTTAGGACTGACAACTTATCTTCTCCACAAGGCACATACAATTATGGTGCTGGGGTATTTTCCTGTACTCCCTGCCCATGCAGGTTATGGCTTGAGGCTCCATTCACACTGAGGTGGCTGTACGAATATGCGTGGAGCCGCTGCACACAGAAAAAACAATGCAATTCAATGTGCATTGTTCAGACTATTGCGGAGACCACGTGGTACGAAACCGCACAGTCCCAAAACAGTAAATGTGCGATAATCCGGTAAATTCCACACATTTGTGGCTATATAATGGCCGCAAACGAGCGGAATTCGTGCAGTTTCACCTATAGAGCTTGCGTCTCCTGCGGGAAACGCAAACACTATATGTAAATGGAGCCTAACAAGGATGCATGGTGGTCAGAACATTAGAGTGTCATCTGAGATTTTTGCAGGGAAATTGAGATCCAAAGTTGATCTGGTCAACAAAAATTTCTACACAAAATCAGCTTTCTCCTACATAAGAAGATGCTGGAGCTAAGGGATGAGTACAGCCAAACAGATGAACTGCTGATGTAATAATGGCAAACACCTTCCCCATACTATGACAATCACATGGTTGTGCAACATCCCAGCTGTTCTATTTTAATGTCAAGTGCACAGTTCATGAATTTATGGTGAGAAAAAGGAATTGTTTGTCATTTTTTTCTTCTTCAGAAGTTCTGATTTACAGAAACCTGATTGTGAAGGTAATCTGTATGTGTACATTATAATATGCTCGGCTGGGACTGATCTACCCAGAGTGGAAGCATTTACAAGCTACGTGCATACTTCTTTTAATTACATATATACAAAGAATGGTGGCCAGGTAGTTGAGTAGATATTCACTTAGCTTGCAGCACTGGGCTCTGGACTCAATTCTCCCCCACCACCCCAAAAAAAGAAAAAAAAGAAGATTTTTCTATATTCTCCATTTATTATGCAGTTGAAATGTCTCTAAACTGTGTACCACAACACGGGTGGAGAGCTTTTCAGTGAACATTGGTAGCACAGATGAGGTGGGCAGGTGTGCAGTGAGAAAATCTATGCAGAAAATGTGCATCGGGTCCTAATATCTGCACAAGCAGTCAGTGTTTACAGGTAAAACAGGAAATCTAACCCAGCGTTTCTCAACCTTTTTTTACTCACTGCACCTTTTAAAAGTAAGCAAAATCTCGAGCCAGCCCAGTCTAAAATGTCATAGATTTTAGGGGGGGGGGACCTCACGCAAAAAAAAAACATTCTAAAAAGTAGGTTTTCCCCCTTCAAATCAAGACCCCCCCCCTCCACATCAAACTCACCCTTTGCATCAGAAGTCCCACTTTCATATTAGAGTCCCTCCCCCCCTTCACATCACAGTACTACTAATACAAAGGCACTCCTGAGAAGTCCAGGAGGCACACAAGTGGAACATGGCACCTTGGTTAAGAAAGGCTGATATAACCTAAGAAATGTATGTATGTATGTATGTATGTATGTATGTATGTATGTATGTATGTATGTATGTATGTATGTATACATGCATGCATGCATGTGAGAGCAATCTGTAAGAATAGATACATCTAAAATACAGACAGTTAGATTCCGTAGATACATTTAAAATATACACCGGTACAGATTCTATAAACAGTTACACAGTTCCAAAGTGCTTTCCAGGACTGAGGCCTTGTTCACACCATGTCCGAACCAGAACAGTTTTTGTCCACACCCGAAATGCATCCCCATATATTCCTATAATATTTCTGGGCTCTGTTCACACCAATGCAGTCTGTTCCAGTGCGGGGGGTGGGGGAACATGCTGCAGGCACTCTATTCTAGTCTGGAATGCACCTAAATGCATGAAACTGCATCCAGAAAGCATGCAAACACACTGGACTGCACCTGAAAGCCCATTTTAAGCTATTAAAAAAATGTAACGCACCGGAACACATAAACGCACTGTTTGCAGATCTGCTCCAGACATGGTGTGAACAAGCTGTGAGACTCAGTGTGCAGAAACAGCAAAGTTTGGTATTGTAACATTGTGAACTGAATGCAACAAAAATAGTTTGATGGTACAGAATATTGAAAAAGTTAAAACTATGCAATTCAATTTACCAGCAAAACCACAAAAAAAAAACACACACACACACACACACACACTCTCTGCAATCACACATCCAGACACGCTGACAGTGAACTCACTTTGTGCTTAGAAGAACAGGTGAACCAGGGTGTCATCCTGGCCCCGTCCTGGGTTCCTGTCACAGACAGCAGGATTTTTTTGTTTGTTTATGCCTGGGGGCCCACACTGGAATACAAGAATCTCAGAATATGGCAGTGCCAGCTGCCATCTACCCCAAAGATTGGTGCCCCATTGCCTGCCCCAGGACAGGGCAGTGCTGGCATTCTTCAGGTCATTGCTAGCCAGTCTCCTCCACTCGGAGACCTGCTGCTTCTTCTATGCCTCTCTCCGAGTCTCTGCTCTTCACACAAATAGTGACTTCTCCCAAAATGCTCTCCTTGTAAACACAGCGTCTCTGTCTCTGTCCCAGGGGGAGGGTTGCTCTATTTTTTCCCCGGGAGGAGGTTAACAGCTGAGATAGTGAGGAGGATCTGTACACACATGCCCTGCATTCCCATGCACTGAGCCATCCGGCCTGCCTCATAAGTCAGGACAGGGAGCATTGGAATAACAATTGCAGCACTGACACAGGGCCTCCCAATTCATCTCTGTCATACCCCACTCACTGAACACTCTGCTACTTCCTCTTCCAATATCTGATTAGGAAAAAAAATTGCACTTCTTGGAAAATGATGTTCTTGGAAAAAAAGAAGGGCTTTTTTAGGATGTAAACTCCCCCACTGAATGAATAATCTCTGCAAGACTTTTAGAAGAGAAGTGTACACACGTCATTCTGATTAATGGCTTCACTTCCTTTTAATCTTATACTGGAAGCTATTTGAAATATGTTAGAAACTTGCAGCATGTGATCCTTTTACACAGTCTGCATCTACTTTTAAAAAGGAAACCATAGTGAACTTTCAATGGGTATTCTTTTCAGTTACTATAAAATTAAATACCCGAAGGTAACTTTTTTTATGGTAATTTAACCCCTTAGTGACACAGCTTCAGAAATGTTTTCGTTCCTGGGGACTGGAGCAATTTTGTCATGGGTTTGTTTAACCATAATTTCCATCTTTCTCATTCATTGCACATACACATTTTTTAAAGAAAAAAAAAATGTGCTTTAATTTGATATGACATCTGCATATTTCAACTTTTTTTTATATATAATAACACACAAAAAAAACATTGTTCACAGTTTTGGCAATAATAATGTGTACGTAATTATTGTAGCCAACGGTAAGTTATTCATAATACATTCTATTATTTCTACTGATTTATAGGGTATATCATATGTCTGGGATTTTAGTTTTTTGCGAGTTATAGGTCACAAGATACAAGGAGTGAAATACAACTGTAGAATGTGCTATGTTTGTCTCCTAACTAATAGCCTCTTTGGTACTATATTTTCCTATTAAAATGTTTTTAAACTTTTTAAAAACTAGGGGGCACTAAAGGGTTAGTTTTTTTATTCACATGAGCTTTGGTACTTCCATCACTTTGTAGCAGCCTGATCCAGCTTGCAGCTCCCCAACACAGTGAGCTGCAAGCTGGTTCAGTGGCTGTAACAGCACTTTGATCACTGTGATTGGCTCTCAGTGATCAAAGTGCTGGGACCCCAATTTGCTGTTGAGGGTCTGCTGCGGACACCGATGGACCCAGCAACTGCACAAGCCCCATGAGCGCTGTTCCCGCCAAGGACCAACGCTCATTTTTCTGCATGACGGTATTATTCTGTCACCTGTCTTTAAAAAGGAGAACTATGGGGTTAAGGCTTTTCCCCATAGTTCTCCTTAGGGTAACGGGAGGACACAAACTAGCGTCCTCCCGTCACCCTAAGCTCAGTATACCGCGAGCTACAGCTCGTGGTATACTGAGACGCCACAGCTGAAGCGGATCTCGACAATTATGTCTGGATCCTCCCAGCTGTGTGAGTGACAGCTGGCTCTGCCTATCTAGAGGCAGAGCCAGCTGTACCCGCCCAATCCGCCAGTCAGCGCTGGAGGATTGGGGAGGGGGTAATCCAGCCACTCCCCTGTCACGGCAGAGAGAGGCGTGACTGGATCGAGAGGTGAGCGAACAACGGTATGTGTTCGCTCACCACCCGATCTACTGAGCCGACCTGTGACAGTCTCATTGTCACAGGTCGGCTAGAACTATGAGGTGAGTGAAAAGCACTCACCTCATAGTTCTCCTTTAAGTATTCAAAAGATTTTGACTGAATAATTCCGTCATTGGTCAGGAAGGTGCTGACATATACAAATCCGTGCAGCTCCATAATGTTAGGATATTTCTCATAGAGGTTTTGTTTTATATTCCCCTTCTAGTGAATATCTTTATGAAGTGTAGTCAGCATCCTTGCTAAACAAAAAAGTAAAGATAAACCCAGCCACATAATGATCTGCAAAGCAAAAATAAACCACCAATGTAATACACTTGTCTGTCCGATGTACACCTATATATTGTACTATCTAATCTATCTATCAATATACCTATCAATCAATATACCTATCAATCAATATACCTATCAATCAATATACCTATCAATCAATATACCTATCAATCAATATATCTATCTATATCTATATCTATATCTATATATAGATATATATATATATATACATACATACAGGGCTCAAAATTTCAAGTCCTGAGCTACTAGCCAGGCCTTAAGAGTTACTCGCCACCAGTTGCCCCACCTGACCCCTACCGTGCCCCGCCCTTAACTCTGCTAGGTCAGTGGTGTGACACAGAGAACAGAGATCAGTAACAATGCAGAGAGCGCCGCTAATGGGGCCTGAAAGCGAGCTGCCGGGTGTACGAGGAGGCGTGGCCAGGGCCGAGGGAGAAGCGGCCCGGCCGTCGGAGGCTGCGGTGCCGCTCCAAGAAGCGGGTGGAGGAAACAGACAGCGATCGGCGCTGCCGAAGCGGCGGAAGTCCCCCCCTTGGATTTCCACTCGCCCCCACGCAATTTTCACTCACCAATTGCGAGCGGGCGAGTGGAAATTTTGAGCCCTGTATATATAGATCTATATAATCGATCTATATATAGATCGATATATAGATCTATATATATAGCGTTGCATTGAATTCAATGGCACCGCTTCCACGCCCCAAAACGCGGGGAGAAGTTTCTTAGCAATCGCGGTGCGTTCCAGCAGCTACCGATCTGGAACGCACCCGCTTTCGGTGGGAACAAGCCCTAAAACCATAAAAAAACATGGTGGATATTTAAAGCGACACTAAACTCAGGAGTTAAACCTTAAAAATACATTCAAGTACCTTAAAGGATTATTAAACCTTCTGGTTTTTTTTTTGCATACATCTACTGCTAGCAAGCAGTAGATATATGCAAAAACTTTAAAAAACAAAACCGCTTTAAAAAGGGTTTAAAATTACCAGTGTCTTCCCCGCGCGCTCCTGCCTGAAAAATCTCCTGCGGCCGGCGCATGCGCCAGGAGACAAGGAGAGACACAAGGTAAGTCTATGGACAGCGTGCACCCGCATGCAGACGCTGTGGGACAGGAAGTGCCAGCAAGCTCAGAGGAACACTTTAACAATTAACAAAATTGTATCTTATTTGTGTATCACTCTGTTGTAGATCTTCAAATCATCTCTGAATTGGTGCCGACACTGTCCTTCCTTCTGGAGGGTGGCTACTTTTGTTCCCTATGTACCCTGTGTGTGTTGTAAGCTCACTCCTGTGATGGACTACAATCTCATGTTTAGTTTATCAATTTGTAATGAAATTATAGCCCATCACAGAAGCAAGCTTGGAATGGTGGCTACTTTACAACACACACAGGGACCATGGGGAACAAAAGGCAGCCACCCTCCTAAATTTGGCCTCTTTAGTCACTTTAATATTAGGCCAGTCAGATTCATACGCATACACCAGGGCTGGACAGACAGTTAATTATGATAAACATAACTCCCCAACCCTCTCATAAACTTTACATAGAAACCAAGAACTAAGATAGACTTTTCAGTCTGGAGTTACATTACAAAGATTTTGTTGGCTACCCCTGGGACTAAATAGATCTATATAGATCCAGAGAATGGATCACATATTCCAAAATGCACAGCAGGAAATGAGAGAAGCTGCATACAGCATTTCATTAGGCTGCTTTTAGCTTTGTAAGCACAGAAGAGACATCACCGCAGGGGTAACAAGAAACAAAATAAAAAAAAAAGGACCTGGTGACAAGTATGAGGGACTGGGGAAAGATGAACTGTGAATACCAAGTACATAACGTACATGAATATTAATGTCTCCTGCACCATTGTCTGACTAACTTCACCTGAAAAAAAAATCATCCCCATTCAGGAAGCGTGAGAAAAGTAAAAGCTGTGACTTGATGTCTGGCTGGGAGATCAGGCTCCTCACACTGAATGGACATTGTACTGGAAGGGAAGCAAACAAGTGAATGGGGAGAGATGTGAGGGCACTATTGCCAGCCAACCATCCCAGAAATCTCTGCAGTGAAACAATGGCTCATTACATGGTGTGATATCAAATCAGAGAGCCAGGAAACAGAGGCAGAGCATTTCCCATGGTCACGGGGCAAGGCAACTCTTCACAATCACACAGTGTGAAGGACTCCATTATGGGATGGTCTACTATGAATGCTTCTGTTATTTCTCTTTTCCCCCCTTTCAACAGAAAATCAGACTAAATGAGTATATAAACTGCAATACATAAGCTATAAAGAACTGTATACAAAACACGGTTACACATTTACATGAATAATATAGTTCTGACAATGGTAGAAATTAACAAAATCACAGAATACATAGTCCATGCATCTGAATATAATACAGCAAACCTTTTACTGTTCTGAGCCGTTTTAGAACGATCAATGTATACACACTCAATGGCTTCCTGAAGTCGACATTCATTAAAAGGATCTGACTCCAGCTTAGGGTGCCCACACACCTTACGATAATCGCGGTAAATCCCGCGATCATACGATTATCGTAAGGTGTGTGGAAGCCGTGCTACCTCTATTACTGTAAGGACGACTTTTTAACTTACGAACATGTTCGAAAACCCGCCGAGCATCGTACGATGTTCGGCGGGTGTGTAGCATGTTCGTAAGATAAAAGCCGAACTGCCCGTTCGGAATTGCGGTCATCGGAAGCCCGCCCCTCAGGGGGCGTGGCTAGCGATCATCACAAGTACGATCTGCCTGTCCAAGATAGGCAGATCGTACGTTTTTTTTAATTACCTTACAACCATCGCAAGACAGAAGTCTTGCGATGGTTGTAAGGTGTGTCCCCAGCATTATAAACAGTAAAATTTTTAATAAAGCCGAGCTTCAGTTTCAGGCTTAAAGTGATGTCTTTGGGGATATGGATTTAGGCGTTGCCAAGAAAATTTTCTGTTTCAGTAATTTATTAATTTCCAAAGCATTAAAAACAAAAAAGTGTTACCAATCAAAACATGAATCCCCAAATCCCATTGGGTGAGGAGTGGATAAAGTTCTTTGGAGACACTATAGTCA